CCCCTTTTTCAGAAGAAAAAACAAGAAGGGAAAGTCAAATTACGGTAATGAACTTTTAAATATCCCAGGAACTAATTCACTATCCATGCAGCCTGGACATGGCTAATTAGGTTAAGATTGACTAATGTAACCAATTCTTATTCATGCATGTTTTGTGAACCTTGACAAGATTCGATAAAGTTCTAGATTCCACTTAATCGAGGGATTTTGTTAAATGTTTTTACAACAGGAAGTTGGCAGTTCTGAGAATCAATTGTTAATACAGCTTCTTGACTTTACATGTGTGCATATGTGTTGGTGTTATGTATGTGCTTTAGTGCTTGGCCTCAATTGCAACAACTTATTCTGATTGTTGGTTTAAATTGGCATCTCTTTGATACCACAGCAATGTTAGGCTTGTGGGGTTCTAATCCGTGAGCATCCTTCAGTTTAACTGATCTACAATCCTGACTGATTTATCTTCATGAATTATTTTTATTCTGAGTTCTTTACCTGATATAACATCATAATATGTGTTGGGGTTGTTTTGTTAACTTGTAGTAACTGAATTTCATGGAAATTTTGTAGCTTCTGAAACTTCTGAATCTGGAAAAGGAAGATTTGTGCTTTTGAAAGGGAAAGAGCAAGAAGTTTCTGATGTAAGATACTGATGACGATGTGATCTTTTTTGTCTTTTAATCTTTATATTAGTAACTGCTTTAAATATCCTTTGGCCAGGTGTCTAAGAGTTTGTTACAACAGCATATCATAACATCTTCAGTAAGAAATTCACCAACCTTAACATCTAGACAGAACCAGGCAAGCGGAAGAATCATTAGGAAAATACTCTCGAAGGAAGGGCATGCGGATCAGTCACATGTATCTGTGACCCATCCTGAGCAGCAAACACAAGCGGTAAATGTGGAGAAGGACAAGCGCCTGCCTCGGCCCCCCAGTGCAATCTCAAATACGAAAGATTACATTTCACGTATTTCATCACTTGCATCTGTTTCTGATGGTGATGATAAAAGATATATAGTTGATAAATTTGCTGTAAACAATATACAAGGTTCCATATCAATTAGTGAAAAGCACGAAAAGCGAACAAGGAAAAAGGATAGACCTGATCGTGGTGTTTGGGCCCCTCGTCGTCGTGCAGACAGATCTCGATCTGGTGATGGAAGTCCATATGCTGAGGTGACTCAGATGACGGATGCTTTAGAAAGCATATCCATTTCTCAACAGGCTGTTGGTAAAGTTGGGGAGGAGGACATGGTTGTTCAAAATGCTCGTGTTGGACGTAGCAATAATTTGCATGCCGCCTATGAAACATCATTAGGTCGTGTAGAAAGAAAAGCTGATATGTCTTCTGCAAGTAGAAGCGAAGATATGAAGATGTATGGAAGTGGACGAGTTGATTTTTCTTCATTGGATAATGGTATGGCCTTTCCAATTCAGTGTCTTTTTTGCTTTTTTTTTTCTTTTTACTACATGACTGATATTTTTTTATAACTTATTTAGGTTCTCATAGGCATGTCGGCCGCCGTGCACGTGGTCCAAAGGAAACAGATAGCTCCTTGAGTCTTACGGAGGGAAAGAGTTTTAAAAGGGGTCCCACTGTCTACAGTTCCCACGAGGTGAAATTTGATAAAATGTTATTTCTGGTTTAAAGCTATTTCATGATATTATACTTACTCTTCCCAAACTATGTTCAGAGACAAGTATGGGTTCAGAAGTCAGGCTCAGCTTCGTGAATCTTCTAGTGAATGGTGAAGCCTTTTTTCTTTAGAACATGTGATTTTCTATTTATTAGTTACTTCTATGGCATTAGCTGAGTTCTACTAATTAATGATTCAGCTAAAATTTAGGGTTTCCACCATGGAAACAAGGATCAGAAAGTATAAATTGTCATCATTATAAAATATACTGGCATCATGTTTTAGTTCGGGCCACAGTTTTAATCATTTTATTAGGGTTTTTAGGATCTTTTTTTATATAGTGCTAAGAAAATTTATAAATTGTTGAGTTGTGAACACAATTAGGGGCATTGGGTTATTTAGAGAACAGCTAAGTGGAGTCAAAAAAATCACTTTTAAGGTTACTTTTTTGAGTTATTTATACTTTTAGTTGGTTGTTTTTACCTACAAGGAATCACATGTTATGTTGACATCTACTGAAGAGCCTTCTCTCAGATTACCTTCATGCTCGGAGTCTCATGCACTGGGCTGCCCTGAGTTGGGTAACTAGTGTACTGTGGTGTTGAAATCTTTGATATATAGATATTAGTATATAGATTAATTTTATATAAATCATGCTTTATTAAACTAATTTATCTCGAAAAACTCCTGAAGCTCATTCGTTGGTTCTTTGGGAAGACAATAATGGGTTTGCTTTTTTCTTATTGGTTATTTAGTACTTATATGTTTGGATCCTTGTATTATGTGTACTATTTTATTTTGTATTAACTTGCTAATGTTTATGCTACAGGATATATGCAATTATGCACTATTGCAGATTTGTCAATTGTGGCAACATTTTGGTTGTGGGGCTCGGTCTATCAGTTCTTGATAATGTTTGCATGGCAGTTATGCGGCTTTGGATAAATGCTGCTCGAAGGATGCTGTTACCAAATTGTTCGATATGGAATTACAGCTATAGCTCTAGTTGAATCAAGAGCAGCATGATCTAAGGTAGCTAGGAAGTGAAATAAATTGGCTTGTGGGTCTGTGAGTTTCAAAAAAATATCGAGTTATTTGGATGGAATCCTGTTGGCCAGCTGATGGAAGATTCGTCTGTCTTCTATACCACTGAACAGTTTGAGCTGGCTAAGATACTTTTTCGCATAGAGATGTAAGCAAAGGCCCTTCTCAAGTATGTTATGCCAACGAGCAACTTCTCTTGGTATAAACTGTAAAGAATAGTTTGAGGAGGTCAGTGCTTCTTTCTGGCCATTGTTTATAGGTTTGAAAAGCGTTGTACGACTCAATGCTTCGTGGACTACTTGGTCTGGTTAGTACTTATACAGTAGTGGGAGAATCCCCGTTTTAAGCACCCCAAGTATTACCATTTGTTGCTGTAAAGTGTAATGGTTAAACCGGCTCAGGGTGGATCGGTCTGTCGTCAAGGTCTGTTTTGGAGTATTTGAACGAGTTGATTGAGGCATAAAACTCGGGTTTTGTGACTTGGTTTATGCTGTTATACTGCTAAATCTAAGACGTTTTATTTCAACTAAGTTGGTTTTATGGAAGCTATTTTTTGCCGATTTATCTCGTTAGGTTTGTGTTTGTTCTCGCGGAAAAGGACTTCCCCGAATAGTTTCTGATTCCTAAAATGGATGGAAACACCTGGTGTTTATTTACCTCTCATTTTGTTATTGGATTGCTGTGGATTGAGTATTATGATAAATCCACCAGAATAATTCTTCTCTTAGGATCCATCTATTTATTGCTGTTTCAACTTTGATTTTAATATATTAATTCTTTCAACATAAATCTTGCCTTTTTTTTTTTTTTTCAAAGTGCTTGATCTTAAAATTTATCGCTTCATCTTACAAGAACTTTTGCTCTCTTATTGCCCTCGTCAAATTCATTCTCACTCAAATTAAGCTGGCACTACTTAATTATTTCCAAGAGGAGCTTATTATTTGAGGCAATTCATCCATGTTACTGAAATTGTGACGAGGTTAGCGTTTTCTTGATGTGGAATTAAGCTACCATCTTTCCTTATTTCAATTGATTTCTAGACATGAGGCAAAACACTTGAGAAATATGAGAATTCTTAAGACAAAAACTTGGCATGCAACAACTTCAAAAGGACAGGGAAGGGTGCAGTCTAAGCCGCACCAGCAGCACTGCGTGGCTTACGTGCAGCTGAACTTGCATTTTGTAAGTTATTGATCTTGTTTGAATGTGTCTGATCCAATTCTTGCTTATCCCCATGGATTCATCATGAGCTTCAGGTGATGTTTTTGCTCGTGCAATGAGTTCACCAAGTTCTAATAATCATGGGGAGAGAGATCTAATTGATCATTCCGACAGGCATACATGAAGCAAAGTATCTCAGCATGGCCTGCTGCTACTTTTCACCATTTGCAGACAGGAAAAGCTGCCACCGTAAGGTTTGATCTTTATTCTAACAGATCAAAGGCTGCAAAGGAAGGTGATAAATAATGTGTCTAAACCACACCTGGATGCTGGAAACCCATCAGAGAGATCAAAGAATTCCAAGCCAAGAAAACACACATGCAAATTGGCAGATACCATATGTGTCATCAGTATGACGACAGGAGAAACCAAAGAACACAAAGAATAGTTTGGGTTGTTCAGACACAAAAAGGATTTGCATTTTGTGTCACATAACGAGAGCAGAAGTGCACTGCACCCACCGAAAGACCTGTAGAAGAGCTCCATAATGCGGATCAAGAAATGCATGGAGACGACTCTGAGCCTCACCACATTCGTTAGACAAAAAGAACTTTAGCCTAGAACAGTTGCTTGTGTCATTGAGATCTTAAATCTTTTGTTCAAGAAAAAGAGTGTCCCATCTCACTGTTGTTTCTTTTTCTTTTCACCCACTTCTTTGGATCGTCTCCGGCTACCCCATCGGTTCATGTTCTGATCTTATCCTACACATCGTTCATCGGTCACACTCCCAGAAGCCTACATAATGGTCCTCAACAGTCAATAGGAGAAGAGTGGGAAGGACTTTTGAAAAGAGGCACTTTGTTGATTGGATGTATAGAGAGAGAAACAAAGGGAAAGATGTGTCTGCAGATGGCCACTCAGTGGGGTTCATCTGTCTCCCCCTCCTGGAGAGAGAGAGAGAGAGAGAGAGAGAGAACCATGCAGAAATGGGTTAGTCACTGAACCCCTGCTCTGATCAACTCTGCTTTCAAATTTTGGTCCTTTGCATTCCAAAGATCAATGATTCATGAATAGATTTTGTTGAATCAATCAATGCCTTACCTTTGATTTAGTTTTGCAGGTGATAGCTATAATTAACAGAAACATAAAAAAAAAGAAAAGAGAAAGAGAAGATAAGATAGGGTATCATCAAAGGTTCATAGGACAGTATTAGGAAACAGAGCATAGTTAGACCACCCTCCCAATAATGACACAACAGCTCAAGTGTGATACTTCCACTACCACACTTGACTATTCCAACATAAACTACTGCTGAACCAACAAAGAATTTGAGGGAAATGAGAGTAGCTTGAGGCCAAAGATTAGAGAGGATTACAAAAGCAAATAGCTATGATGGAAAAGTATTGTACATGGACCACACTTGGAGCTGCATGACAACCTTAGCCATGCTTTCTTTTGATGAAGGTGATCACCACCACCATCAACCCATCAACAGAGTAAAGCTCATTGTTGTTCCAACAGTTCTTCTGCAACTCGCACTGAGATCTGAAAAGAAAGCAGCACCTTTGCTCATCAAAGTTAAAGAATTATAGGGGTCCATTTCATCATCATTACTGTAATTTACACACCACTCCCGCACATCTTCACCATCATCAGGTCAAGAGATCCGGGAAGAGCTTGCAGAAGCCGGTCTCCTTCTTGCCTGAGCTGCTCTCTTTCAGTGCAGTGGCAGAGGAAGAGGGAGAGTGGCTCTCCGGGACATGGTGCGGGAACTCGGAGAGCATCTGGACAACCTCCCTCATCGTCGGCCTCTCCACGCTGTTCTCCTGCACGCACAGCATGGCCACGAAGAAGACATGCATCACCTCGGCTATCGGCACCGTGCTCAGCCTTGGATCAGCGATGGCGGCGACGTTGTCTCTGCTGCAGTCGGTGACCCTCTTGGCCCACTGAACTATGTCCACTCCGTCCCCGAACTCCCCCACCGGGCGTCGCCCGGTGATGAGCTCAAGTAGAACCACTCCGAAGCTGTAGACGTCGCTCTTCTCGTCTACTTTGAGCGTGTACGCATACTCTGCGATCAAATATGCAAGCAAAAACAGAGTAAGAGAACAGTTGTACACAAAACGAGGATTTAATGGACTATACATCATCCGAAAGAGAAGATATAGAAGAACTCGGTGGCGAATGACCCATTAACATTAATGGACTATACATCATCGTGTGCATGTCCCGAGAGTCAGATAGCATATCCCCCATCAAATCAAAGGAGGAGGAGGAGGAGGAGCAGTGTGAGGTGGGAGAATCTTTGTGATCCATGTATTTTACAGGTCTCGGGAGTTGCCATTGAAATCCATCACAAGCCTCAAAAAATCCCACGCTGTGCTGGTGTTGAGCACACATGCAAGAGAGATAGAGAGAGAGAGAGAGATGTGGTGGATGATGTGATCTCTCACAAACCTAAATCTGAAGTGATGGGACCAGGTTGCTGAATCCCACTCCAAGATTTTTCGGGTGATTCAGTCAACCTAGAAGGCAGCTCCTTGGAAGGAGAACGAACAGTGATCTCAACGCAGGAAAAGAGTCAAGGCCTTCGAATTGGGAACAGCAGAAGGCACGCTTTCACCAAAGCCGATACTGCGAAAGCTGCCGCCCCTTCTTGTCGGTCCCCCACCCCCACCCCTGGTCCTGTGACTCGGATTTCCATTTCCGGTGGTACGAAGCCGCGCACCGGAACAGGTGGGCGGATTCACGACGTGACATACAGCGCCTCAGCGTCACGTCCCTGTTCTCTCCCTCTCTCTCTCTCTCTCTCTCTGCCCATCAATCTGTGTGCATGCTGTCGCTTCAACGTGAGCCAGTCGCACAGTACCCCTGAGCTTTTATCTGGTGGGTAAAACACATAGGTTTTGTTTCTGTTGCAGAAATCAGAGGTCCCGAGTCTCACGCATGTTTAAGACTCTGACTCTGCAGACGGCTGCCGGTTTTTGGTAGCAGAATGAAAAGCGAAGCGGGAAACGGTTTTGTATGAGAGTGTTTCGGAAACAGAACGATCCATGTTTTGAGAACAGAAAACAGAAAACAGAAACGAGAAGGGTGAGAGCGCACCTGGAGCGATATAGCCGTAGGATCCGGCGATGGCAGACATGCTCTCGGAGGCGCCGCCGTCCTGCAAGAACTTGGCCAGCCCGAAGTCCGCCACGTGTGCCTCAAAACCCGTGTCGAGCAAGATGTTGTTGGACTTCACATCTCGGTGTACTATCATGGGACTGCAATCGTGGTGGAGGTAGCACAGCCCCCTCGCCGCCTCCACCGCGATCCGGTAGCGGCGGTCCCAGCCCAGGAAGCCGCCCCCCTTCCCGTGCAACACCTCGCCGAGGCTGCCGTTCCCCATGTACTCGTACACCAGCACGTTGGTGTCCTGGTTGGTGCAGAAGGCCAGCAGCCGCACGATGTTCCGGTGCCGGATGCTCCCCAGCGTCCGGACCTCCGCCCTGAACCCGTGGTCGTGCCCGCCGGCCCTCAGTCGCTTCACCGCGATCGCCTCCCCGGCTCGGGTCCGCCCCATGTACACCACCCCGCCACCGCCGCGCCCGATCACGTTCCCGTCCCTCATGCACTCCAGCACGTCCGACACCCCGAAGTCCACCTTCTGGAACGCGGTGAGCCGCCACGCCGCGCCTCCAGGCCCCCGGCGGTACGACCGCGCCCGCACGGCCGCGGCCACCGCGAACACCAGCGAGCAGAGCAGCAGCCCCAGCGCGAATATCAACTTGAAGTCCCCCGCGCTGCGCGGCGCATGCACCCTGCCGGCCGTGTGGCTGCAGGGGTTCTCCAGGACCGGCCCGCAGAGGCCGGCGTTGCCCGCGAACGAGGAGGCGTTCATGTAGGCCAGCTGCCCGACTTCCGGCAGCTCGCCGGAGAGGTCGTTGAACGAGAAGTCGGCCGCCGTGAGGCTCCTCATCGCCGCAATCGACCTCGGTATCGAGTCGCTCAAGTGGTTCATGGAAAGGTTCAGGTAATTCAGTATCGAAATTCCGGCGATCTCCGGCGGAATCGGGCCGGACAGATTGTTCTGGCTGAGATCGAGGTAGGTGAGCTGGGTGCAACTGCCGATCTCCGGCGGGATCGAGCCGGACAGGCGATTGCGGCTCAGGTCGAGCTTGACCATGCGCCGCAGCCCGCCGATGGCGCTGGGGATTGGACCGGCCAACTGATTGTTGCCAAGCAGCAAGGTTTGAATGGAAGAGAGGTTTGAGATGGAGGATGGTATTGGCCCGGCGAGCAGGTTGTTGGATAGGTTGAGCTCGGCCAGCTGGGTTGGACTGTGGCCACTGTTATCATCATTCGCTGGTACTGGACCAGAGAGGTAATTGTTCTGCAGCTCCAATAGGTTTAGGTTGGGAAGGTAGAGGAGGCCTAATGGGATGCTGCCATTGAGATAATTCTGACCGAGTCTCACTCTTGTGAGGCTGGAACACCTGCCTAAGCTCGCGGGCACGGCGCCGAACAAGAAATTGTTGAGTAGAATGAGGACTTTGAGCTGGTTAAGAGGACACAGGTTAGCAGGGACTGCACCGGTGAGCTTGTTCGACGAAAGATCGAGCACCCGTATCCGGCCTCCCGAGCCGAGCCTCTCCGGTATGGCGCCCGTGAAGTTGTTCATGAAGAGCTGGAGGGTGTCCAGGTTAGGTAGCTCTGCGACGAACTCGGGTATCGAGCCATGCAATCGGTTCATGAAGAGGTTGAGCAGGTTCAGCTGGGTGAGGGCGGCCAGCTCGTGGGGAACTTCTCCGGTGAGCGCATTGTTCGACAGGTCGAGCAGCGTCAGCCTGGTGAGATTACCGAGCGACGGCGGTATCTGCCCGGACAACCGGTTGGAGTGCAGGAACAGCGTTTCGAGGTTGATCAACTTGCCGATCTGCCGCGGTATCTCCCCGTCGAGGCCGCAGCTCGAGAGGTCCAGGAGGACTAGATTGCTTAGTTTGCTCAGCTCGGTGGGAATGTCGCCGTCGAACACATTATAGTAGCCCAAGTAAAGCTGCTTGAGGCTTGTCAGGTTCCCCAACTCGGCGGGAATTCTGCCGCGGAGATCGTTGCCGTTCAACGACAGGTACTCTAACGTGGTTAATCTCCCATAGCTGGCCGGAATTTCTCCGTCGAAGTAGTTGCCGCCGAGGTCCAAGTACTTGATTCTCTTCAAGCTCGCGACGCCGGCCGGTAACGAGGCCGTGAAGTTGTTGTCGTAGGCGTCGAGCACCTCCAGGTTCGGCAGGCCCAAGTAGTCCCACTCGAGCCCGCCGTCGAACTGGTTGAAGGAGATGTTCAAGTACCGAAGGCTCGGCAAATGGGACACCCTGATCGCACCTTGGAGCTGGTTTCCGGCGAGCGAAAGGTTGACGAGGGAGTCGAGGCCGAAGATGTCGAGCGAAACAGAGCCAGAAATGTTCAAGTTGGAGAGATCGACGGCGACGACGCGGCCGTGCTCGCACTGGACTCCGAACCACGAGCACACTGAGCTAAGGTCCGCAGTATTCCAGCTCTCTACTTCTGGGGTAGAAGATTGGAAGCCTTCTCTTACGGAAGCCAACACTAAGGCATCGTTCTGAAGCGGAGCACAAGCAACAGAACTTACAACAGTAAACAAGGCGAGGAGGAGGAGAGAAGGGACCATTTTGATGAAGTTTTGGAGATCGATCTAGTCAGACATATCTCTATGAGAATATGACTTGGAGGAATGAAAGAGAAGAATGGAGGTTTACAGACTGTACATGGGAGGATATAAGGCTAAGGGCTTGGAATCTGAGAAGCTTCGCATGTGTATGGTTTTCAGGGAAGAGGCATCTTTCAGAGAGGAGACTTCACAGGGAAGATATGAAGGGAGACAGGTACCTCCTACTTCCTTCGTCTGATCTCTTTTATTTTATTGTTCTCCTTGTGCTCTTTGATATGTGTGTGGAGAGAGAGAGAGAGAGAGAGAGAGAGAGAGAGAGA